GGCGAATCTACCAATTGAAGCTATTTTGTGGAAAGGATTATCCAGATAATCCACCAGCCGTCAGATTCCAAAGTAGGATAAACATGACATGTGTCAATCCCGAAACTGGAATGGTACGAACCATTTCTTAAGCCATTTGTAACCATTTTATAACTGGAAATAATGTATGCTTGCTCAAATTACCAGGTTGAAAGGAACCTCCTTCCCATGCTTGCAAAATGGCAAAGGGAATACACAATGGAGGATATATTAACTCAATTGAAGAAAGAAATGATGTCCTCACAAAATAGGAAGCTGGCTCAGCCTCCTGAAGGTGCTTATATATCACCACTTAGATCATCTTTTCTTGCTTTTCTGCTAAAATGTTCTGCTGCTGTCATTTAAGAACCGTTTTACTATTTCGAAACACTACTTCTTACCTTGTTCGTAGACAAAGCTAATTCGAAACAACGTTCTCAGGGAACGAAGAGGGAAGGACAGAACAAAAGGGGCTAGTCCTGAAATGTTGCATTCTTTGATTCGGGTGAGAATTTGTTTCCCGAAAAAGTTTAGGGACTAAATTTGTGATAAGACCGAGCTATTACAATAATATCATAAGCTGAACTCGTGCAGATTTTGGGCGTACAGGGAGAATAAGATTGGTGAATGCTGAAGGCTTCTAAGATAGCAGTTAACATAGCAATTTGAATTTGGCAAGCTCCCAATAAGGAGCTTAGTTTTCTGAAGTAAATGATGTGTGTTATGTAAGGATGAAGCTTTGAAGATGGATATTCTCAGTGTAAATGAATTCTTCTATATCATCAACGTTTAAGCTATAAATGTACTTAAAATATATGAGTTTGGTTATGGGTTTTTTACCAAATGAACAACAAAAAATAAGTACGCATTGATATTGTTATATTAAAATTCGAACCGTATGATATCCCATTTGCATATCGACACTCGAACCATATTGGTCAAGTCATTTCGAGGACGAATATCGCGTCGAAAGTCTACCTCCCACATCTCCCACATGTTTGGTTGAGTTGATCAACTTCCCTATCAATTCTCATCCACACAACCCTTATTAATACATATCTTTGTTGTTCATCACCAAATCCTTCCCACCACACAATCATTCACGTCCTCAACCTCTCAAAAGAAACTTCCAAGGCACAAACTCTCACAAGATATTCATTGCAGACCCATTATGTTTATTAAATACAAAATTTTGGGTTCAATCATTGTAGGTTGCCCTACACGTTCACGTAATAGTTCGAACCTCTTTTTAAATCTATCCATATAGCACTATCTGAATGACTTCTCTTCTCTAAACCACACTGCTTATTCAATAGAGATCTACCACGAATCTTCAATATGACTACATCGAGACTCAATTTTTTTGGTCGACATCAAAGAATTCTATCAACAAAACTAAGTTAAGATAAGGGCATGACTTAACTTTGATACCATCTATAGAAACAACGTGTAATAGCCCAAGCCCACCATTAGTGGAATTGTCTTCTAATAGACTTTTCCTTTCGGGCTTTCCCTCAACGTGTCTACTAGGAATAAGTTTCTACACCCAAGGAATGCTTTGGTGGGATCTCACAATCCACCTCCTTTAAAGGCCCATCGTCCGGTGTATAACAGCCTAATAAACAATGTTTCGTCCTCTCTCCAATTGGTATAAAATCTCATCAAACGAAACTCGCAATAATATAATATTATCAACTTTTGAGTATAGGCGCTCCTAGCTTTACTCTCAATCTTCCTTGTTTTGGCTTGCTTAATTAAGGTGATACTCAAAGAATGCAGAACCAAAATGGAACACAAACGTTAAAAAATAAAAATTAAAAAAAAAAAAAAAAAGTAATAAAAAAATAGGAGGTCGGCATGGGCACCGCCGTTAANACGAGTTAAAAAAAAAAAAAAAAAAAAAAAAAAAAAAGTAATAAAAAAATAGGAGGTCGGCATGGGCACCGCCGTTAACGAGTGGGCGTCCGGAAAGTAAGGGGGATATAATAGTCTTTTTAAACAAAAGAGGAGACGTGGCGTCAAATCCATGCTCCATTTCTTCCACGCTTACAGCTAACAGAAACCCGTTTTCCCTCCCTTTCCATTTTCAACGTACACGCAATCTCCTTATTACCCCTAATTTCTCAATCCCCTTCTTTCTTTTTTTTTTTGCATTAAAACTTTCCTCTTTCCTAATTTGTCCTTTTACAATACTGCGTCGTTTTCAAATTTTAAAAATATTTAAAATATTTAATTCTATATTTAATAATAAATGTTAGACCCATAACTTTTTAAGTTCTAAATTAAAAATTTATATAAAGTTCGAAAATGACATTTAACGATTCAACTAACCCAACTTTTCTAATTACAAATTCGAAAAAGCGACCTAAAAATTTATATACATAAATATAGGTTTTTATTATATCAAAATATTTTTATTTTATTTACTTTTCAAATATCTTTCTAAAAAACAAAAACAAAATTATATTAATAAAAATTTGACTTATTTAACCTTATTATTCAGTTCACACTATAAAATAAAATTAATTTGTTAAAACCATTTGAAATTGATGTATAAAGAAGTTGGCTTTGTGAATTTAAGCATTTTTTTTAATTTTTTCTAATTTTTTTATTTTTTTATTTTTTTATTTTTTTATTTTTTTTTCCAAAACTTCACAAACATGCGAAAAAGATTTTTTTGGGTGAAAATTAAATAACATTAGGAAAAAAAAAAAAAGTCTATGGGTGGTGGAAGACTTTAAGTAGTGCTTATAATCTTCCATTTAAAAAAAATAAAAAATAAAAAAAGGAACGTTAATTTTTTTTATAGGCTAAATTAATAAAAATACCTTTAAATTTTATTCTTTTTACCTAAAAAAAATTAAAAATATATATATAATTTAGTTTTATTTTTTTTAAAAAAAAAAAAGAATGAAAAGAAAATAGGTATGGAGTGGAGGACAAGTCAGAGTTGGAAGACGTCAAAAAAAAAAAGAGTGTATATAAGGAGGGGAGTAATGGTTCCATTTTCATATCCTCCAAAACGCACCGCTTAATTACCAAACCAAAATTACAAAAAGGCCCTCCTCTCTCGTTCTTCTTCTTCTTCTTCTTCTTGTTCCCCATGACTGAACTCTCGACTCTGTCATCGAGCCTCAGCGGAGAAGGTAAATTCCCAAAAACCCCCCCAGAATTTGTCGAAATTGCGTTTCTGTCATTTTGATTTTAGAAGGTAAGGGTCACCTATGGTTGTATGCAGGGAACAACGTGCTGCAGAAACACGTGGCGTTCTTTGATAGGAACAAAGATGGGGTGGTTTATCCATGGGAGACCTTCAAGGGCTTCCGAGCAATTGGCGCCAATTTCCTATTGTCCGCCGTCGCCGCCGTTTTTATTAACGTTGGACTCAGCTCTAAAACCCGACCGGTAAAATCCCTCTCCTCCCCTCTCCTCTCAATGTATAATTTTAATTATTTTGGAAAATGGAAAAAAAAAAAAAAACACACACACACACCAAAGCTTAGCACACCGCCCCGTATCCACCTCATTTTGGATATAACCTTCTTGTTAGCACATCTCTCGATGTGGTTCTGATACCATAAGTAACAATTCAACCCTGAGGAAAAAAAAATTATAAAAGCTTTTATATTTGGTATATTATTAATGTGATTTCATATTTATATATATATATATGCATTGCTTTTGCAGGGGAAATTTCCAAATTTGATGTTCCCAATTGAGATAAAGAACATCCAACTTGCCAAACATGGAAGCGATTCTGGCGTATATGATCAACAGGGAAGGTAGCTATTGATCACTAATTGCTTCCAACTACTCTCAACTTTATAACTTTAATTTGTTCATCTTTAATCTTTGATGTGTCAATACGAGCGTGTATTAGGTATTGATTGCTTGTCTTACTCAATGCTTGGTTCAATCAATTTATGTATGGTTTCATTAATAACTTTGCTTAGGAGGTTAATGCACGTGTTTGAATTGATATGTCGTTTATTAAACCATCGATGATAGAATGACGACGACCCAATAGGTCGTTAAAAAGAAGAAAACAAAATATTTTGAAATGGGTGATTGTGAATGGCAGATTTGTTGCTACAAAATTTGAAGAAATATTTGGGAAGCATGCCTTAACCTACCCGGATGCGTTGACGGAAGAAGAGGTGAAAGGCTTGCTAAAGACAAATAGAGAACCTAAAGACTACGGTGGATGGTTGGTTTCTTCCCTAACTCTTCCTCAAATTTTAAGTTAAATCCCTATCGTTTTATTAGTTTTTTAAATTTAGATTTAGTCCCTGTGATTTCAATTTAGTTCTTACGGATTTTTGTTAAATTTTACCCATCATCGTACAATTATCTTTCACCCAGGTCGATGATCTCATTTATTTTTACCTATAATTTTTTACTCTCGACTTTAAATCTCAATACAAGCCGTCAACATAATTAGTGAAACCGGAAAAACCCACGAGAATGAGAACGAGAAGGGTTATAGTGACCAAATTTACAATTTAACCCATGGAAATTAATATGATTTATGGTATTTGTTTAAGGGTTGGTGCATGGGCAGAATGGACAATTCTGTACAGTCTTTGCAAAGATGAGAATGGCTTGCTTCAGAAGCAAACTGTGAAGGCTGTTTATGATGGAAGCTTATTTGAAGACATGGAGAAAGAGAGAGCATCAAAAAACAAGAAATGAAAAACATTTTCATTATTTACTTATTTCTCATTTTATCCCTTTTAATTTAACAAATGTGTGTAATGCTACAAATTGTTTCACCAAATTGTTCGACTTCGTGTGATATCGCTATAAAATGTATGGTTTCTTGCATTCGTATTTTTCTTGATTCCTCCTAAGATTTGTATGTGCTTCAAATAACAACTTATCAGACATGTCTCAATTTTTAAGGATCTATGTTTTAAAAACTCGAATTAATTATTTGATTTATTTCAATAGTTTGAGTAAATGATTCGGGAAAAAGTTGATTGCATGGAATCGATCGAACATATAAAGTACTCATTAGAAACCTCTTCTCTTCCTTCATCTCTTTGAAAATGGCTTCATTTCTCTACCTCTTTCTTCTCCTCTTCATTTCTACTCTTCCGCCGCCGTCCATGGCGGCCCTCACCGGCGAGACGTCTTTTGTCTACGGTGGCTGTTCTCAGTCAAAATACACACCCGGGTCAACCATCGAGTCAAATATCAACTCTCTCCTCACTTCCCTCCTCACCTCCTCCTCCTTCACACTCTACACTAACTTCACCGTCGCCGGCGCCGGCGCCGGCGATACTGTATACGGTCTATTCCAGTGTCGTGGCGATCTAAAAAACGTGGCATGTGGCAAGTGTGTGACTCATGCCGTGGCTCAACTTGGGTCTATCTGCCTGGACGCATGCGGTGGCGCGTTGCAGCTGGAGGGGTGTTTTGTGAAGTACGACAACGTTAGCTTTTTGGGAGTGGAGGACAAGACTATGGTGGTGAAGAAGTGTGGGGCGGTGATGGGGTATGATTCCGGTGGGTTGGCTAGAAGGGATGCGGTGTTGGCGTATTTGGCGGCGGCTGATGGCGGCGGTGGGTATCAGCCGTTTAGAGTTGGTGGGTCCGGAGATGTTCAAGGATTGGCGCAGTGCGTTGGGGATTTGGATGCGGTGGAGTGCCAGGATTGTGTTGCGACGGCGGTGGGCCGGCTGAAGGCGGACTGTGCGGCGGCCGGGTGGGGGGATATGTTCTTGGGGAAGTGCTATGCTCGGTTCTCCCATGGCAATGTCCGCCCCCGCGCTGGCGGCGGTGGAAATGGTATGTTTTCTTTTAATATTTAATTTTGGGAAATTACAAACTTCGAATTTAATTAATTAATTTTGCTTATTTACTTACAACGCTTCCATGTAATAGAGATTTACTTGTTAAAATATTTTAATAAATTTTACTAAATAATATTAATAAATATTTAATAACGAGGAGTAGAGAGAAATTTTTTTCCGTTAACTAAACTAGTTAGAGATAAAGATTAGATTATGTATTTCCCGCCCGTCTTATTTAATTTTAATAATTAAAAATATTGAAAAAATATTTAGGATGAAATAAAATTAGAGAAAAAAAAAGTACAAATTTTGTAAAAATTATTTATAATTTTATTTGCATATAAAGGTGTGAAGGGGAGGTTTGAGTCAATGTGATGATTGCTTTCTCATCTTTTCATGCATTTAATTTAACATATTTTTAATTTTCACTTTTCAAAAATAAATTTTGAGAAAAGTATTTAAAAGAGAGAAACAAAAGCAATTTAAAAAAGGGTTTGTTTCATGAATAAATTTAAAATTTTCTTTTTTTTTTAGTAGTTAATTTTTTTTTGGATTCTAATGGGAATGAAAGTTATATCCATCCAATAGAATAAAGACGGGTAGAAAAAAAGAGAATTTCGATAAAGGAAGATCCGTGGAATTTATTTTTTTAATTTATTTTCTATTTAATTATTTACAGATGGTCGAAACGACGATGTTGAGATAGAGAAGACCATTGCAGTAATAATTGGACTCATTGCTGGAATTGCCTTCATCGTCGTCTTCCTCGCTTTCCTAAGTCATTATTGTGACAAACAAAGAGGTATTTAAGCAATTAAATTATTCTTTATCAATTTTCGATAATTAAAAGAATCATTACAAAAAAAAATCTAATTATTATTATTATTTAACCATTTTTATTTTTTTATTTTCTTTTCACAAAATTCTTCGAAAAATTTAATTGAAACACCATTCAAATCATAAGACAAAAAAAAATTAACCTAATTCACTCCGTATTTGAATAAAATTAACATAATTCACTCGGTATTTGAATCTCGATAGGTGGCAAATGAAGTGAATTTTGAAATGGATGCATCTCGAACGTCTTCTTTTGAGTTCATCGACCCGTGGGTTCTTCTCTTCGTAGTCTTAAAAAAAAAAAAAAAAAAAAAGCTTCATTGAAAGAAGCTACAACGACAACAAAGAGAAAAAGCTCATGAGATTCGACATGTCGGACCCACTCAACTTCAAGCTTTATCCTCATATGAATTTACATATTGCTTATTCTCCTTTTTTATTTATTTTTTTGTTTCCCACTATTTGATATATTAATTGAGAATATATTTGATTGAATTCCTTTTTTCTTTTATGGGAGAAAAAAGGAAAACAAAATTGTACTATTAATTGTGTGTTATTTGGTGGGTTTAATGAAAGTTCCTATGCTCTCTGCTTTATATCAGTTAATTAAACATTTATATTTAATTAGATACTCAAATTAATCAACTAATGAGCGTTTAACATCATCCTTTAACTATAGACGACTATGCACAATATCTCAAGCGTTTGCCTACTAAAAAAGAGTCGAAAAATGATTAATCTACGATTAGGCAGAAGTAGGGTTTAATGTGTATAGTATTTCTTTATACATAATTCATGTATACACACAAGAACACTCTAGGACTGACTATGTAGAAGAAAGGAGTGCATATCATGTTATGGTGTATGCGTCCATACAAAATATATTAAAAAAGTATCTCGTGCTCATGACGTACAATATGCATGAGACCCATGTTTTTAAATCATGGTACATGGTTATGATGTACATCGTACTTTGAAAAGATGAAGAAACCACGTAATCTTAATAAAATATATCATCAACTTAAAAACAAAATTAGGATCTAACGTAAATCATACAGAAATACGGTGTAGAATATAATGAAAAAGTAGAAGAGAAAAGTAAAGGACGTGAGACGAATAAAATAAGATAAAGAGTAGAAGAGAATAGAATATGAACTTTAACTTTTTTTTTTTTTGGTATCGTAGAACGAAGATTCTATACAAGAATTGGAATGGGAGTAGAGAAAGAAGAAGAGAAAGGTTTATTTTGTGGTTATAAAGATGATATGATAAAATACATGAGGATTTTCAAAGTTGAGTATCACAACACCCTCAAGGGACCTTATTCTTGCATCAATCCCAAACCCTTTGGTATCAATTCCTGCCCACTAACCATTTTGGCTCTATCATCTAAATTTCGTAATTGAAATGATGGCGTTTCGTGTAACTTGTTATTAGTGTCACCGACACATGAAATATAGTGTCCTCGCTCCTTCATCCCTCCCTCTTGCTTGTGCTCCGTCCTCATGTTCTTCGTGCTTTTTTTGTTTCGATAACTCTCTTATTTTTAAGTATTGATTAAGTCATTCGTGTTTTTTTAGGAGTTTTTTGTGACACTCAAATAAAGGAAGGATATCTCAATGACTCAATCATAGCAACTTCATAGATAAGTCTGTTTTGTTTGGAACAATTCTATGTTGGGTGACCTCTTGGTAATTTTCGTCATACGCATGTGAGACTATGAGTGATGACAAAACATGCTAAAAGGACTAGTGTAAGTACATGGGGATAACTTTCGCTCTTAAGAAGCGAGGAGATGCATGTGAGTGATGACAAAGCATGCTAGAAGAACTCGTGTTGGTCTATGGGGATAGTTTTCACTCTTAAGAAGCGAGGAGTAGGTAACGTGATCATATCATAAGGGAGATACGGAAATGCTGTAAAATTCAAATTTCGAATCTTGGACATGAGTTATTGCTGAATTCCTCGACTTCAGTTTATCTTCATCCGTTAATGAAAATGGTGGTATCTCCTCCAATTCCATCTAGTCCACTATTGATCGACCCTATTATATATTACAATTTATGGATCCTAAGCTTCATCTTAATCTATTGTATTAAATAATCACGACGGTGAGGGAGGGACCACTAGAGAGAGGTTTCCACACCCTTAACAGGAATGTTTCGTTCCTCCCTCTCATGTGAAATCACACATCAATTGGAGATTCGAACTAAACATTCCTGGTAAGGTGTGAAAACTTCTCCACCTATTTAAAAAATGTGAGGCTGACAGCCATGATATGTCACATATCAAAACGCTGGGCTTGAACCGTTACAAACTGGTCTATAAATTTTCAATTTTATATTTTAATAAATCTCAAGTAAATTTAAAAATTAATTAAATTTGATTTTATGTATTATAAATATGTAAATTAAAAAAATAAAAAAAATTGATAAGTTTTGTAAATTAAATTTAGAAACTAAATAAGGGGAAATTTTATGAAGTATTATTATTTTTTAAGAGTAGAATTAAACGTATTCGTATAGTTTAGGAATTAAATAAAAAAAATTAGTTTGTAAAATACGAAAAAATGACAAGTGTCCCATTTCGCACATGCCAGCATCACTTGGCACGTGCTTCGCTAATGTTCCGTCTTCGTTAATCCCCCAAGCAAAACTCATCTTCACACCGCTATACCAAAAAGCATTCAATTTCATTTCACACAGATCAATCAATCTCACAGACTTCCAATTCCCTCTTCGGATCTATCACCAATGGCGTTGGAATGGGTCGTTCTTGGCTATGCCGCCGCCGCCGAGGCAATCATGGTTCTCCTCCTCACGCTTCCAGGCCTTGATGGCCTTCGCAAGGGCCTAATCGCCGTCACTCGCAACCTTCTCAAGCCGTTCCTCTCCGTTGTCCCCTTTTGCCTCTTCTTGCTCATGGACATCTATTGGAAATACGAGACTCGCCCCACTTGCGAATCGGATTCCTGTACTCCTTCAGAATACCTTCGCCACCAGAAATCGATCATGAAGAGCCAACGTAATGCACTCTTGATCGCTGCGGCGCTTGTGTTCTACTGGCTGTTGTACTCTGTCACTCATTTGGTTGTGAAGGTTGAGCAATTGAACCAGCGTGTCGAGAGGTTGAAGAATCGGGATTGAGGATGGAGATGGACGGCGAATCGTGGGTTTTCGAGTAATTGGGTCTTTTTTTTTTCTTTCTTCTGTTTTGGGATTTGTTCTTTAATTTCGGTTTTTTGATGCTATATTATGGATATTGCAGCTCGTTTTGTGTTCCACTCTGATACTGCTATTACATATTATGAAACTGATACGAGTCTTGAATGTCTTAGCGTCCGATTTAAATGTTTGCGGATTACAAAGTTTTTATTCATATAGCTGGTTTGTGGGACTGGTGATTAGGGTTTATGTTTTTGTAAACTCTGTCGTTCTGTTTTCTTATACAGTGGAAATGTTAGTGTTATTTAGTATTGGGATGTTAGTTTTTTTTTTCTTTTTTTCTTTTTGTTCTACTTACACTATGGTTGCTTTGTTTATCATTGTTTTTGGTGTTTGCATTGGATCAGTGCTGATGAAAATGATGGACTTTGTTGTCATTCACCATTTATGTTTTACTTGCACATGGCCGTTGAATTTATCTGGTTTCTAGCTTAATGTGATACTTTCTTGGTACATAGAGGAATCGGTTGAGGAAGATGCACTTCCTGTCCCAAATCTAATTGTGGTGTATGCAGTTCTTGTCTTTAGATTTATTGACGTCTTTCTATATGCTATGTTTTCTTCTTAATGTTAAGTTCTTCCCTACTACCTCTTGTTTGTTAGCTCCTTTGGCGGCAGTTATACTTGTCTTTCTAATGGTGCTTTATGAACGTCCCATAGACTTCTATATGGACTTCTAGGACTTGCTCAGATATACCACCAACCGTACTGTTGTCCAAGTTTAGAGACCTACTGTAACCTTCTAAAATCATTGAAGCAGTTTAGCTTTGTTGGATTTTTTTGAAGAGGTGCAGTTCTTGTTTCTACTCTTGTCCACGAGGAACTGTACGAGTTCCACGAAGCCTTCAAGTAAAATCTTATACCCTTTTGGAATCCTATTATAGAATTGGTCCTAGAGACCTCTCTTTCTAGGAAAGGGCCGCCCTTTGTCTGCCAACACTAAGTCTATTTTGAATCATAATGTACGACCCTCATTGTAATTGTAGAAGGGAACTATATTTGTTCCAGCTTTTGTCCACAAGGAACCTTTCAAGTTAAAAGTACAACCTTTTACCCTTTTTGGAGTCCTATCATAGAAGACGACCAAAAGGGTCTGTTCTTAGAAAGAATGTCTTTTCACCAAGGGACACTTATTGATACTTATCCCGTTTGTTTTGCACTATATTCCAGCTTCAGTAATGGATTGGAGAAAATTCAGAGGGATTTCTTGTGGGAGAGTGTTGATAAGGGTAGCGTTTTCATTCGGTTAGGGGTTAGGTGTGAGATTGTCTTGAGAATGGTTTTGTTAGATGTGTTAGGCATAGGGAACTTGAAACTTTGAAGTATAACCTTGTTGGCTGAAAGACTTTGTTTTCCTCTTTGGAGTCGAATGCTTTTATGGCATACATTTCTGGTGTGCAATATGATGCTCATCTTGTATAATGGATCTTGGTTTCTTATGCTAAAGGCATATTCAAGAATTGGAAAGTTATCTCACCTAGTTGCTCTTTTCAATATTTTGAAATTTTCTATCGAGGATGGCTTGCTTGCTGGAGGACTTGTTGGTTGGGTGATGCCTCATCAAATTAGTTTTGTGGTTACTGTCTGCCTTCTTTGTGAAACTCCACCTTGTATAATTTTCAGAATCGTTGTCCTTTTTGTGGTTGATATTCAGTGCCGTCCTAGGGCTAATGGTTTCTAATTGCGGGTGGAAAACCTTCAGATGGATTCTCTTTTAGGCAATTCTTCACCTTTTTTGTGATCCTCGCTATTATTCGTCACTCACGTGATCCTTGCTCCCCTATGCACTCCTTGTTTTTTTTTATTTTGGATGGTTAGGATTTCCAAGAAGGCTGTTTTCCCCTGCTTAGGAAGTCTTAGGTGGAAGGATTAACTACCACGTTAAAATGCATTCTTTTTGCTATCTTAATGGAGAGTTTTGCCAGTTCGGATGCTTAATCCTTATGTGGAAGGATTAACTACACGATAGAGTACATTTGCTATCTTAATGAAGAGTTTAGCAACCCCCCCGACCAAGCAGGGAGCTCTTAGTGTTTTTGGGCATGGAGGATTTCTGCAGCCTTTTAGGTGATATAACTTATAGCTAGGTTCATCGTCTCCCTGTGAGTGTCTAGAGCTTTCTTTGTTGAGCTTCCTTTGAATTGAGCTTTTATCTCTCGTAAAAAGTTTTCAAGTAGCTTCTTGCTCCCAAATCACAAACAGTTTAAATACAGACAACTAGTGGCCTTAGATTCTTCCTTTTCTTTAGGCTAGGAGATTCTAAAGAAGAGGAGAATGTGGAGAAATCTTGATCTTGGTGCTTCTCTTGTGAGGAATATGAGGTTGGAATTTTAGATTATTGTATCTTCCTGAAATGACGTCTTCTTGGCTTTTGGAAGGAAGGCTTTGGTTTTTCTCATTTCATCCAATGTGTCAGATCCTGGAAGGACTCATTTATGATGTGAAAGAGATATTTTCGGTATGAGATGCAAATTGGAAAACTTGACGTTTGCATGTGTGAGTTAGTATCCATATGTGTGAATTTCCTTTGCCGATTGAGAACCGTTGGTTTTTGCATCCTCAGTATAATTCTGTACGTGCATGAATACTCATTCAAATGAAACTCCAATCTTCTATAGCTTTTGGCTGTCTTCATTTTCCCGTTGACTTTGAGAAGTATATACAATCCCAACATGATCCACCGTTTGTTTCTTTCTTGATCTCAGATGTTATTGAGTTGGAGTCCTAGAAGTTTGAGTTGTTTCCAGTTACTCCCACCACATGGTGGCACAAATCCAACTATTTCTTATGACTTAGGCCAGAGCTGTGTTGAACAAATGTTATAACAACATGGCCATGTGCTTTTGCAAATATAAGTATATAGGGTCCAAGTCCATTGCCCTACACAGTCCATGTTTGGGTACACAACTGCTGACTGGGGAACGGGTTTATACTATGTCAGTCAGGGATATTACATTCTATGAACTAGTTTTTGTGGGGTTAGACGGCTGTTACGTGAAACTAGTTGAGGTGTAACGCAAATTGGCCTGGCCCGAATGTTTACGGACGGGTCAAAGTTTGCAACTAATTGTTGTATTATAGTGTTCGTCTTCACTTGTTCGTCTCGTCGGGACACTTCCTGATAGGATTTTGAAGCATTTGCAGGAAGTCCTCTTTCTAAGTGTTCCTCTTTCTGGCTTCATGTGGTTAGTGTATGTTAATTTGGATCACTTTGAAGGAAGCTTGGAAGGCTGTTCTTATGATGATATTTTGCTTGTGGCAGACGAATTCATGCTTTTTCCTTTAGGCTCTACTTGTGTAATTGTAGGTGAGCATGAGCTTTGTTATCATTTGAAATGGGCTTCAACAAGCAAACGACACGAGATTGTGACACGAGTCGATACAAACATTTTGTTGGCATTGTTTGATTTTGATTTTTCTATTATCGCAGTTCCAAGTAGTAGCCCGACACGTTCGGCATATGGTTGGTTTGTTTTTCCATTTCAGCCACTCAATTTCTGAATATTGAAAGTCCAAAATTATTATTCCCATTTCCCCATTAGTCAATTTACTCTCATATTCCAAATGAATTCAGGGAGGTGAGGGCAATGATCAGGTGGTTCCCGGTCTATCCTGCACTCGGCTGCCTCTCATCCTTATCCACTTATCCCCTTCGTTATGAATATTTATAGCATAAAAAATTAAAAAGAGGGGTTGAAAATGATAGGCCACTGCCCAAACATCACCGACCGTCACAGACGTCTGTGATTGGTTGGGAGATTATGACAGAATGACGCGTTTTCCTCTCCACGGTGGACCCCCGACTTTCAGGCTTTGTTCATACGTTAAAAACGTGACCGTCTACACACCCCTATTTCTTTTTTTCTTTGAGAAAAAAATTTTAAATAATTTTTTGCAAATATGAAAATATTTTTTTTATTTTAGACTACAATTTTCTATTTTAAATATTGAAAGAGAATAATAAAAAAAAAAAAAAACTAAATAGAAATATCCGAAATATCTAAATCCTTATTTCACCGATTTCTAAATGATAACAATATTTAAATTATTAAAATAAAAAAACCGAAAAGCCATTATTACTGAGTATGGGGGCAAAATAGTCATACTGAAACGCAACACGTGAAATTTATGTCGATTTCTTTTGTTTTTTTTTCAATAAAATTGAAATTAAATAAAATCTTATCTTTGAAAATTCATGTCGGCCACACTATTGCATTTGGATTTCAAACACCTTTCTCAATTAACAATTTTTATTTTTTTTTTAATTAGAAACTTACCTTTTATATTTTCTAATAAAAAATTAAAGATTTTGAATACATAAAATTCAATTTAGAGTTTATAAAATTGAGATCTAAAACCTAAGCTTAGGATAATGATTTCCCAGATTGTACAAATTAAATTTATAATTAAATGGACAAATAAAAAGATATTTATTTGCACTATTAGACAAAGGCTTGAGATTGAAACCCTTTTGTTGTTACCTTAGTGGGGAGAATGACAGATAGGTTTCTTCTAGCTCAAGAATTTACCTGCAACTCCCACTTCAAACCCTTGTTCATTAAACCAACACCACACTCCATGTTCTTCCACCAATCTTATCTTCTCACCCTCAAACACCTACCAACAAAATCTTTATCACTAGATAAGTATGCAATATAATCACGAAAACGACAATGAAAGATCGGTGTGAGATCCCACGTCAGTTGGAGAGAAGAACGAAGCATTCTTCGTAAGGGCGTCAAATTCTCTCTCTAGCATACACGTGTACGACAGAGATGGAATAGTTACAAGAGATACTAATGAATACATTAACGCTACATAAGGGTGTTGGAAGCAAATGATCCAACCAAAGTTTGAACATGAATTCACAACCCTACAACAATTATGTATAGGAAAATATTATTTAAGACGTGGAACTTTGAAACTTGAATATAGTCCAATCCTTTCAAGGTTTGTTGTTCAGATAATAATAGACCATAACAATTAGTACAAAACATCATATGAAATTCATCCTTATCTAAGTTCTGCATCATACACGATCCTTGCGCTTAGCTTGCCACATTAGCACTGTTGCCCGTGATAGGACTCGAGAAATTTGCACCGTTCGATTCTGTTGCAGCACACTCCGAATATTTCTTGCTAAGATTGTATGGGGCAGAGCTCATCACCCTATATGTATGTCCATAATTGTTCAGATAATAGAATTTGGATCTACATTTTCTTTGATTATGTTCTTTTTAGTCAAGATATC